CAGTGCATTAATACATAGGGTGCTGACAGAAAGGGTCTTGTGCCCCCTGACTTCTCTTCTGGGAGACTCTGTCTATTACCCTAGTCATTGACTATTTTTATAGCACTTTGCACTGCAGAGGCCCCTCATATACCACTCTAACACCTTTTAAAACACTCTGTACAAAATAGATCCTTCTGCCTAGTCCCTACACTCAATGTATATCTTTTGCTACCCTGTACTGCCCCCGGATTCACTTATTACATAGCCAAATATGAGAGGAAACTAGGGTGCATCTTCTCACAGGATGACATCTGTAAGTCTTTTATTTTGGCTTTCTATTATTAGCTGTATACAAGAAAGGAACTTTTAAATCTTTACAAGGTGGTATTGCTATCCACATAGCATGCACTCCATTTCTCCTCAAGTCTCTGATATACTGTATGTTGGAGGTGTTACATATCTGATGGCCATGACTTCAACTCGTTTCTTTCTTGTCCACTGAATTCAATGTACTGTACAGTATATAATATAAGAACTAATGTAGTGCTTTTCCCCCAAAAAATTAATTAAAATCAGAGGTAAACCAAAAATTAAAATAATTTACAAATTGGGAACATAAGTGAACCAAAATACAACCAAGATACAAATACTGTAGATTGGGTGTTCATAATTTGTATATATATTTTTTTTTTCACATTTTGTAAGTGATTATTATTTTTATAAGCAGTGAAAGCTGTGTGCTGCTATACAATAATAAAACAATATTATTATGTGAATAAATCAAAATCAAAATGATGGAGATTGCTGCAACCGCTCAACAAGTGTATTCTGACTCAAAAACTGTATATAAGTTTAAATGTGGTGAGCTAACTCCTCTCAGCACAAAACCATACAAAATTTTGAATATAAGTCCTCAAAAAGCCTCAATTAAAAAAAAAAAAAGTAATTAAGCTAGGGCCTCACATACTTTTTCCTCCCTGCACTGTGAATGTTTACATGTTATGTGCAATTAAACCATGGCAACATCTAATGTTTGTGTAGTATTATGTTCATCAGACTGTGTTCTTCTATTGTTGTGACTTAGATGACGCTCAGAGCACATTTTATGCCCAATTCATGCAAAACTCCACGTAATCCCAAGGGGTTCACATACTTTTTCTTGCAACTGTATATGACCATCTGACAATCACCAACATTGTACATACTCCACAACACCCACATCTTTCTTTTTTTCCTTTTTTTTCTTTTTTTATGGCTACCGAGGCAGTTATACCCAGGTACCAGAGGTCACATACTCCCCGCCACCATTTGGGAATGAGTGGATGAGATGCAATAAAGTATGTAGAAATTAACTGTAGATCTATATGAATCCCAGACTCAATTCCATGATATTTGTAGACCTTAAGTATATTTTTGCACTACAACTTCATTCTGTGAAATGGTAACCCCTTGACTTGGTGGGGAATAAGCATGTGTGTTTTCAGTCAAATGGTAAGTGTGTTTTTAATTTTGTAATGTGGGAGACACAAGCAGAAGGAGTGTAAGTAACAATAGAAGTTTATTTTGACTGAAGTTGGGGATTGTTAACAATGGTTGCTTACACAATACTGCCTTCAGCTCCTGAAAACCTCTATCTGCCTTTTCATTCAATTTCACCATGGTAGACTCTCTGGCAATATCAGTAAATGTTACTGGCTTAGTAATAAAGCTAAGCACAAACCTCTCCTAGTTCCCTACAATCCTGATAAAGGTTCTAAACTGATATTAGCCAAAAGGGAGGCTCACATACTAGCACAACCATTTGGTGCCACAAAAGCTGTCTTTTCCTTTGTCCTGTCTGTTCAGGGAATCTGACAATACCTTTGAGTAAGATCATAGGTGGCAATGTGCCTGTTTGGATCCAAATGTCTATCAGCACAGTCACCTCACAAGAAATGATGACTGGGAACCACAGTGGCCCATGGTTTTCTTTGCTGAAAGTTGGCACCAGGTCAGGGACTGGCAGGAATAGAAGGACTATTGTGTGTTGACAGTGGGCAAGGTTGGAGACTAGAAGTAGTCAGATCCAGCAGAAGGTAGTCAGACAGTCTGGGCCAGCAAAAAATAAGCAGTTGACAGGGCAGAAGATGAGAGAATAGTCAGACAATCCAGGTAAAAAAACAGATAGAAACAATAAGGTAATAGCAGGCTTCAGTATTATAGCTCTCATGGAGCTGGTGAGAAGACCCAGCACCAGCCTATTAAAAGGACTAATGCTTAAATATCCCACAGGGCATGCCCAATTTCATTAACATGTGCTGAGGCACATTGAAGTCCAGGACTAAACTCTAAGAAGAGTAACAAGGAAATCGTGGGCTTTAGCAGAGCAAAGAGAATTGGGACAAGGATGAAATTTAGGCAATGCCAGAACAGGGCTGAACAGAACTGTAAAGCAAGTGCCCTAGAAACCAGGACTAAACTGAAAAAGGGTAACAACAAAACCCCTGGACAGCAGCAGGGCATAGAAAGCTGGAACAAGGCTTAAGCAGAGCTGGAGAGAACTGTAACACAAATGTGGATATTTCACATAGTTTCCAAAAATTGTTACAGAATTTCAGACTGCCATTTGGCTTAGAGATAAGAACTATATACCTGACCACTAGCTGTTAACCCCTCAACCCTCAAGAGCTAACATTTTCTGTACACCTTCTAAAATGGCTTTTCCCTGGTCTTCAGGTACCCAATAAGGTCTGACCTAACTTTACTATGACATGAGGCACAGTCATGACATCATGGTAAATTATGTTTAGCCAAGTAATTCTAAAAACACTTCACAATTTTTCTGCAAGGACTTCTTGCCTCCTGAAACTGAGTAGCGTGCAGGGTCTTTGACATCCTAATCTCTGGTATACCTTTCAGTAGTGATGCTTTCAGTCTTTTTCTTGATGAAAATACTGTTAAATAAAATCTCCTTAACAAAGAAAAAGACAGCAATTATCCCTCTCCACTCTATCCAAAACAAAAACAAAAAATTGTGCTTTTAGATACTTTAAAAGCATATTTGGCAAATTTAAATTGATTTCAGTATGTACACAGTATCTGTTATGGCAGAAAGGTATACATAAATTGCTCAAAGAATTCAAGAATATAGATAAAAAGCATACAGTATGTACAACCAATTTAAAATATCATCTAATTAATATACTCTATGTACTATGTGCTAATATATTAACTTTAATGTCTATGTGAATGCAAAAAAGAGAGCGATCAATAAAATCATGGATAAAAATGACAAGCTAAAGCATCCTGCCATCATTATGAAGCACAACCCCTCTCAGTATATATTTAAGTTGTGGTATAAAATGGATCAGAAATGTTTTGTTGTATTATTTATGCAGAGACAGTTTTTTTTTTTAAATATACCAACCAAGTCCATTGGGTTTGCTAGTATATAAGGATGTTCACTTATTTTCTATAACAGCAGCTGCAGTACACAGTTAAAGTGATTTAATTAAAAATATGAGATTTGTCATGAAAAATGATCAGTTTTTATTTTTTAACAAATGAGGCAATATCTTTGACAAGAAACTTAGACTACTGAAGACACTTTTAGGTGGAAAGGAATCTAAACATTGTAAATCAATTAATAAGTCGAATGTAAACATGTAAGCATTTTTTAGAGCATTTCCCAAACCTCTACTCAGGAACTGTTAAAAGGCTGTGTTTCCCACATCTGACTTTAAATATATGTATATTTAATAGTAATTATTTAAAGGACAACACTATTTTTTACACCTGTCATTTGGAGAAGCAGAAGTAATAAAGTATTGTGCCATGTTATCTATTGATTAATGACGGTTATTTTAAAGAAAAAAAGTATATTTTCTAAATACTTATATTTCATTGCTCCTCTATTTAAAGGGATATTAAAGTAATTTAAAAAAAAATAACTGACAGGTGAAATTTTTATGACAAAAGAGACCTTATCGGTGTCTTCTGTCATAAATGCGTCTCTTGCTTTTTTTCAGCTGTCAAAGCACAGCTCAGCATACATTTGCAACACATAATCTGTGCCATGATGATGTGACTCCCTTGCGCGTGCACAGATGGAACCTGAGTGAAAGACCTGGCAAAGATAGAAGTGCCCAGGACCCATGGGATTGGTGACAGTGCAGTGCTGAAGGGAACATTTTGACAGGTAAGTCTGTCATAATGTGCTAAAATGCAGTGCATGCTAGCACATTATGGCATAAACCACCTTGGGGCATATGTAATAAAAAGAGTTTAATACTTATTTAACTCTGTGTATAAATATATGGATTTCATAACAATTTTCAGAATTTTTTAAAGTTTGAAGAAGGGATCTAAGGCAACTTGAAAGCTTGTATACTTAATATGCCAATAAAATGTATAACCTAAACTCCAAATGTTCTATGAAGCCGTGGGAAGGATTTAAGATACAGTACCTGGAAGGTTGATCAAACTTTTTTTTCTCATTTGTGTTGAAGTGAAGGAGTGTTGGATCTTTTCTATCTATCAGTATATTTTCTCACTTTATGTATCTAAGACACTAGAAAAAAAGACACCAATATCAATAAAATCTTAACCACTTGCCTACTGGACACTTTTACCCCCTTCGTGCCCAGACCAATTTTCAGATTTCAGTGCTGTTGCACTTTGAATGACAACTGCGTGGACATGCAACATTGTACCCATATGAAATTTTTATAATTTTTTTCACACACATAGAGCTTACTTTTGGTAATATTTAATCACCACTGGGTGTTTTATTTTTTGCACTATAAACAATAAAAGAGCATTTTTGTTTCTATTATAAAATTTTGCAAACAGGTAATTTTTATCCTTCACTGATTTACATTGATGAGGCTGTACTGATAGACAGCACTGAAGGGCACTGATAGGCAGCACTGATGGGCACTGATGAGGTAGCATGGATAGGCAGCACTGATGGGCATTGATAGGCTGCACTGATAAAGTGGCACTGATGAGGCGGCACTGGTGGGCATTGATGAGGAGGCACTGATGATGCTGTACTGATATGTAGCAAAGATGGGCACTGATAGGCGGAACTGACGGGCACTAATAGACAGAACTGATGGGCAACACTGACTGGTGGTACTGACTGACAGCACTGACTGGCAGCACTGACTAGTGCCACTGGTGGGCACTGATGGGTGGCACTGCTGGGCACTAATGGGCACAACTGCTTGGAGACACTGCTGGGGAGCAATGATGGATGGCACTTCTGGGCACTGATGGGTGACACTACTGGGCACTGATGGGTGGCACTGATGGGCACTGCTGGGAGGAACTGGTGGGCACTGGTGGGTGACACTGCTGGACGACACTGCTGGACACTGATCACCAAGGCACTGTGATTGGCCTTTTACCTCATCATGTGATCAGCTGTGTCCATAGGACACAATGATCATGGAGAGCACGGGGTGTGCGCTGCTGGAGGCGTGTTCTGGGAGGATGTCATATGATGCCCTCCCAGAACTGGACAATCGTGCTGTAGCCGTCATTCGGCTATAGCGCGGTTGGCAAGTGGTTAATAGATATATTAACCCTTCCTAATTAAGTAAAAAATGTTTTGATTATTGTCTCTGTAGAAAGTTATTCTATCAGTTTATGTCCCAGTAACATCCTATTTCTGGTGAGAGAGTGCTATACCTTGTTGGTGGTGGGTAGGTCTGTGCAAATTTGACTTGTATAGTGTCCTCAGAGTGGAACCATTCAAGCATGTGAAGATTGTGGAGATACAGTAGATGGGGTGTGCAGTGTGTGAATAAAAAGTCTTGGGAAAAACCAAGTTGGAGAACAATGATCATTTAATAATTAATCTAATAATAATGTTACTTTTCAGCTTCCACCTACAGACAAAACTGTCTAGAAAAAGTGGAAAATAGGTGGTTAAGACAAACCATTTAATACTGATAGGAGTGCTTACAATGATCATTTTTTCAGATATTTAAAAGCTTTATTCCAAATGGAAAAACAATATTTTGCCATAATTGCTTAAAAGGATCATTTTTTTTTTAATCTCCATGTGATGATGGTGGAGATACAGTGGGTGGGGATGGGGGGTGGGGGGGGTGTGTGTGAGTAAAAAGTCTTGGGAAACCCAGCCAGTTGGAGAGCAATTATCATATAATAATTGACATATGAAATAAACCATAGACAATGTGTTACAGAACAGGGGCATACCTGAATTTGTTCTGGAAGAGTGCTGCTCAGAACATTTCCAGCATGGTGACCTAGCTGTCTTCGATAGCTCCAGGTCTTGTATGAAAGAACGGTAACAAGGAGGACCAGCTCTCAATCACATAATCGCTGTGATACATAACCACAGTGATCAGTACATATACAGTACATTACAACCTCCCCTACACATTGTTTCTCCTTTCTAGAGGAGAAGTATCTCAACAAAAAGTTATGGAAAAAAATAGCTAGATCAGGGTTTCATCTAGATAAGTGTCAGTGTTAGGGTTAAGGTTAGGGTCAAATTCAAGTTAAAAGGTTAGGGTCGGCATGTTTTAAGTAGGATGAAAAGTTTTTTTATTTAGTGTGACAGTTAATATCAGCTTGTTTTAGATAAAAAAAAGCAATGTACTATTGTTTCTTGGCTCTATTACAGGTACAAACAGCAAATAACTTACACATATGTGGTATCACTGTGATCATCAGAAGTAGGATAATTTGTTTTGAGTTTTCCTTTGTTGTTGGTGTGTTATGATAATGGTATGAAATGTTTCTATTTTGGGCCAGGTTTTGTTTGATAATAACAAAAAAAGATATACTGTATTTATGTAAGGCTCAATTTATCTTTAAAAAACAAGTATAGTTCACCTGGATAGACCAATTAGATGCAATAATATGTGCTTTACTGTCACATGCCAAGATTGAAAAACTGGCTTCAAGAATTAAAATGTGTTTTAGCTTCTGTCATGAAGGAGGTAAGAATAGGATTCACCACAAGCAGGACATTGTATTCCTATGTAGCTCCATTCTAACACAATGCACATCCTAAATCTAACATTATATCTCATTATATATATATCTTATGATCACTATTATATTTGTCTCCTAGGGGAGCTATTATAACACCCCCAGCATAAATGTTATCTTGAACCCCCCCAACCCCAAGAACAACAAATCTCAGTGATGGTGCAGAAACACTTATGATCATGGATCGTACTAATGATTAGGAAATCAAACCAATGTTCTGAAACTGAACAATTTCTAATGAAATTCTACTAGTGTATAGTAAAGTTTAAAGCCGAAGATGAACAAAATATATAATGACACAAATGGTGCAGTCTGTCACTAGAGTCTTTGCTTTTCTGAGTCCCCCCATAACATAGTTATAATACCTGATGCTCCTACCAGTAAGTCTGTTACAATCTCATAAGGTGCAGTGATTCAAATGACATGTGCAAATATGAACGAAAGTGCATCAGATGTAAAAATGGGTAGATGTAAAAAAGGATGCTTCCTGATGATGTCCTAGATGTGATGAAACGCGTAGGTGTGGGACATCTGCTGATGATATCACTTCTGCCATATAGAAATCACACTGACTCTGGAGCAGTACAGAGAATCTGTGGTTCCTCTAATGAGAAATTTGGCTGGCCCTTCCAGGTGGCAGGGAGGCACCTTATCATGTGAGTGCAATATTTTTAGCAGTTCTGCTTTTTAAAAAAAAAAAAAAAAAAAGAATAAAGATGTGTCACTCTATACATTTTCCCTGGTATGATTTTTTTAATAAACATTTTAATATGGAGCATACCCTATGGTGTCCCAGGAGACTCTGTGATCGAGAACAAGAGGAAACTGACAGCAGAAAAACCATACTGCTTTGGAGCACTAGTGACCTACTTTAAAAAAGTGGTCCACTCCTGCAAATGAGTGAGAACCCTGGTTAAGTGAGGAGCAGCACGGTGTGATTTCTTTTTTAAAATGCACAGAGCACTTATTAGTGAAAGGTTTTTCACAGTACTTGAGTACAGAAACGCTGTTTGATGAACTCGATCTGTTTTTTTTTTTTTGTATCTGATGCACATTGATCTCATGTTATTTGAATCACTGCACCTTATGATTTTTGAGCTTTTTGGTTCAAATTTGAGATGTCAGCTGATTCATTGCACTTTGTAAAATTGCATTTTATGAGTTTATAAGTTTATAATTTTATATTTGCATTTTATTCCAAGTCTCTAGCACAGCTCAGTTCTCTCTATGATTCAATGCATGGATGTACGTTAGACAGCACTTGGTTTGAGCTACAGCTTAGTAATTGTAGGTCACATAGGGTTGGTAGGGCATAGGTGTTTTTATTAGTTGTATCAGTTAAGGAGCTATTTAAAGGTATATGCTCTATCACAGCCCAGGTATATACAGTATATACTGTATATTATGAGCTCTTTAAGTGATTTATATGTTTACTGAGTATATTGAGGAGTGGGGGTCAATGATGTCTTGGAGATCTTACCTTTTTAATTACCTCTCTTGTTTCTAATTATTCTTGGACGGTCCAGGAAATACAATTATTCTTTGTTTTAGTTATGTTTTTCTTTGTATAATAAAGGCTTTTTCATTGTAATTCATTTTGACAATTTGTTTTGCTTTTTAGGTAATGCCTTGATCTTTTTTTAAACAAATCCCCATATATCATATTTAACTTTGAAATCAGGCTACACAGAAATGTGGTAATCTGAGCTATCTAAATTATGGTGGAATATAGCCTTTTTTTGGTAAACAAACAAACAAAAAAAAAAATATATATATATATATATGCAGTATATATATATATATATATATATATATATATATGTCCTTTTGGACAAACAGATGATGAGGCCTATCACATTTTTGGAGGGCCTAATCTTCTAATGATCTCATTTTTTGTCACAAGTTCTTGGAATATGAAGAAAGAAAAAAAAAACTTTTTATTTTCTTTCTCTGTTCCCCAAGAACTTGTGGCAATAAAATTAGATCTGCAGAAAACAATTAATACTTGCAAATACCTTGGGGTGTCTGCTTTTAAAAATGTGAACTTTGTGTGGGTGTTTTTACTGTCTAGCATGTCAGGGCCTCCAAAAATGTGGTAGATAGGGAGGAAATCAGATACATGAGTTATTCCCCTTGAAGACCTGAAGGTGCTTCTTGGATTTTGGGCCCTTCTGTGTGGCTAGGATGCAAAATAGACTGAAACATGTAATATTCCCATATTCAGGTGAGAACAAGGTGCTTTTCCAGGAGTATGTGGCCTGGCATGGTTCAGTTAAGAATCTGGTATGAATATTGGGGGGGACATCAAGCTTTTTCTTTTTTTTAGCTAAGCCATAAAAGTGAATGAGGTTTGTGACATCACTGGTTGTTAAGAATGCAGAAGTGCCTGCACCCACCAGTGCCATTAATGATCATTGACAGCAGGAAGCTGTCATATACAGTATAATAGGGGTAGTAATATTGCAAATATACGGCTCTTGCCAAAAGGGAAAATGTTTGGATGTTTGTCTAAACGTCTGAATAGCCACGGTTCTGACTGAACCTTAAGCTCATTCTCAATACCCTTTGGCCAGTATCAATGTGTTTCCAGGAATTGTTAAGGTGATATGACTTTTGAAGATGAAGCAAAATAAATTGCAGTCTCAAGTCAAGGGGCTACAAAGACAACATTCTGAAAAAGGCCTACCAACAATTAAATATAATTTATGAATATTAAGGAGTGGAGGTAGATATGGTATTATATACCTTACCTTTTAAATTCCCTCCCTTGTTTTTTGCTACGTTTGGACAGTTCAGGAAATTGAATTTTTCATATATATATTATATATATATATATATATATATATATATATATATATATATATATATAAAATAAAGGCTGTGTCTATGAGATTATTTTTGTGTTTATTAGCATTTTAACTAATGACCTAAATTTTCTGACAAATCCTCTATATCACTGTGATAAAAATACAGAATTTTAGGCAATACATTCCACTAGCAGTTTCCTGCATTTTTTTGAATGTTTGTGCTTTTTGCTTTCTGCTGCATCATTTTCATTCCACAATAAATACAAATACAGAAAACACATGATAAATGCTGTAAAATACAGTACTTGCTGTAAAATGCATCTTATAACTCATTAAAACACTGAGTTTTTTTAATGCTGTATTGTGACAGTAGCCTAATTATTGAAATTCATCACTTTCATCAATGTGGCTGTCCATCAAACAGTCCCCTTTAATTAGGTAATCATTCACTTAATTAAAGGGCCCTACAAACAGCATGCACTATTGAATAGGCATAATGTAAGCTGGAAAGATCACATGTACTAAAGTGGTCAGATGTTAGAGATCTGCCAAATTTATATTGATATCCACCCAGAGGCATTTCTTGTACTGATAACAGTCCTGAAACATAAAACACTTTTGTTATTTCTCTTAATAAAATTT